TTGATCCATAAAATAAAATAAAAAACACATTTTTGCAGATATACGAGTCATATTTTTAAAATAAGTATGACACAATGATAGTTTATAAGATAAAATAAACTTACTCAATATAAACTATAAAATTGTGTGTTTAAAATGTCGTTTTAAACAATTATTTAAACAGGTAAATTTAGAAATATATATTATCACTTATAAAATATATAAAAACAAACACTTGCACGGATCAAACAACAAAATTTTCGGTATTCTCTAGTCAAAATTAAACCCATAAGTAATTTGTAACCATTTAATTGATACTTCATTTTTTTATTTTAAAAATTGCAATCCAAATGTTTTATATATTAAAAATTTATATAATTTGAACATTAGGCTTTTTCTTAGAAATGTTATAACTAATTTATCATTTTTTTGTATACCGTATTAACTTTTACTTCTCAAGATTTGATGTATCTTTAACAGAAAAATATTTTCAATATATCGTATACATGTTAGATTTGTTTATATGATACCCAATATTTTTTATATAATAAATTGTTAACACACACAAAAAAACTTAATGTAATACAATTAATTTTTACAAAAATTTCATCTAATATAAAGATTAAAAAATTAAAATTAATACCCGTGCGCTCGCACGGGTCAAGGTCTAGTGATATCTTTAAAGGGACAGTCTGGACATAATGAGAATGCATAAGACTTTCGTTAAAAAATGCATTAGTTTTAGAGAAGAAAAGATTCTATGCTTAGCCATGATCTTGAAACCCATTTTATATACGTACTAAACATTTTTTTCATTGTAGTTATCTTCTAATATTCGTCTAAGATTGAGTGAGATCGCAATTAGTTGACTTTACTAGTTTTCTACTGATTATCTGAGATTCGACCTATTCAAAACCACATGGTTCTTTATCTTATGGATCATATATCGAGTCATCTGCCACTGCTAGAGTACCACTGCATGTTGCATGTGTAACATTGGCTCATATCACTTTGATTTGCTTTTGCTACAAGTTTCCTAATACAAAATATAGACCACACCAATCATTCAAGCGGGGACGGATCAAATAATACTATAATTTTCAGTATTTGTGATTTGCTTCGTATCTTATAGATAGCTAAACCTTTTATTTGCTTTGCTTTGGAAATATACGGATATCCAATTTTTTTTTGGATATTTTTGAATATTTACGGATATTTACGGTATATTCTGTAATTTTTTTTGATAAAACTAAATCTAAAAAAATACAAATTTGTTATCCAGAGCTACCTATTACATAATATAAAACAAAATTGAGTGAAACTATTTGTTCCATAAATTTGTATAATTAGTTAAGTTTTTTAACAGAACACAAAAATAAGATAATTGTAATTTTTATAAAGATTTGATATTCTTTTTTGAATTTAATACATTTATATTAATAAATTATGTGTTAAAAATTATTATATAAAACTATACATTTAAAACTCTATATTTTTTTTTATAAATATGGATATATTTATATAAAAGTCGGAACAGATCGGATATCCAACTCTAAAGCTTTTAACAGTAAGTTTTAATTTGTCTTGAACTACTGTAATTCATTATTTTCATATGAAACAGTTGTTAGAAGATGCAACAAATCTTGTGGGAGCGTTACTTCTTGTTACTACAGTGACTCCTAGCATTTGTCTTAAATTTGAATACAAACTTTTTTTACTAAATAAATTATTCATTACCAAAAATACCCTTGTTTCCCTATGTAAACCACCACCAGTGCTGAGCCTAATAGCATGCCCGTGATACATTTGAATAGGGTCCATATTTTTGTGAAGCCCAAAATTTAAAAAGAATTTTTTTATATAAAATGATACTTTTTTGCATATTTTAATTGAAAATAAAGTTACAAACAAAATAAACCAAAATAAATTTATACAAATAAGCTAATTAAACTATGTAACATGTAAATATCATGTAGAAACGATGTAATTAGTTATTTGTTCTTATAAAATGTATACGTATCATGATAAATAAAATTTTACATAACTTATTTAATATATTTATATTGATTATAATTATTATTTTTGATTTTGTATGGATTTTGGAAAACTCAGGACCGGCACTGACCACCAAATCACCCTTAATAATCAGCATCGTATAGAATGACTTGTCTCTCTTCCCTAGCCTTCCACGTTAACCAAAGCAAAGCAGAAACAAACAAGTGCTCAAAAGCAAGAAAAAATGGCTCATACTCACAATCTTGAAGGCATCACCAAAGCAATCTCAGGTACAGTCATAGTACAATGATATATATATATATATATATATAATCGCAATGTCACACAAGATAATTCCAGCCAAAATTGTTGCTTAAAGAAAGAGAGTAATCCAGCTAATTAGCATTAAAAGTCCACACTTGTAAAAAAAAAATATCCACATGTGAGATGCGAGATTAAAACTAGCAAAATGTCAACTGTTTTGTGGAGTATTATTGTTTAATCATTTTGCTGAAATGTATGCTTAAAATTTTCAATTATGGTTAATGCCGATGGCTTCATGAGTTGTACAAGTCACTAAAATAAAACAGTGGGCTAAAATTTTATCTAATGCTATTTACATCATTACTAAAAGTTTATTTCTCGAAACTTTGAATATTTTCTTCTTTTTAAAAATATACATTTAGAAAAAAATTAGTTAAATATACATTTTGAATGCATTACTTAATCTAAATTTTAATTTTCAAAAAATATTTTTTATTGAAGTCTATTGGTTAAAAAGTTATGTAAAATAGTTAATTATAAAAATTAATATATTAATAGTTAAAAGAATAAAAACCCAAAATAACACCAGCCCAAGTTTTTATCCCCAAACTAGCACCCAAGATCCAAAGTCACAAAAATAGATTTCATTGATATAATCATTTACCATAGTATCCCTCTCTTTGTCTAATTAATAATCTTTTTAAAAATTGAAATCACGACATCGACGGCTTTTCACATTTCCGATGTCAACGACTTCTCACATATCTGGCGTCAATCATCTCGTCATCATCTCCGGTGTCACTCATCTCTCGCCGTCATCATCTCACCGTCACTCATCACGTCTCTCTTCCTCAGCTCTGCTGCTGTGCCGCCGTCTGTTTCAAAAAGGTAACTTCGATCCATGGGTTTTATTTTTATTTTGATTGACATTTATCTTATATAGATTTTGAATTTCGCCGAATCAGAGGTATATGGTATATTTACTTTTCAATTTTCAGTTTGATGAAACATTTATGCTATGATCCATTTTGATGAGCTTTTGTGATTTTGGTTTAGAGGTATTTGGTAACGATGATGAGGAAGACTGAAAAAGATTTCTGCGATCCAGATATGGATCTGTGGTGTGGTCATTACCACTAGAATTAGTGTAGCCACTAGAATCAGGTAGTAAGTTTTGCTTCTTGCATGAGCATTTGAGCTTGGCAGAGATGAAATCACTCTGAGGAATATAAGATAGTGGGTACAACTGTTAAGGAGGTTTACTTTGATCAAAGGTATATTTAGGATGGTATTTTTAATTGTAGAAGAATGTCTTATGTACAAAGGGAGAAGCTTTTCTGTTCTCTGAAAATCTTTAAAAAGACTCAAGGGAGAACTCTAATTATATAGACAACAGAGAAGTACTTAAAGGTAGCTTCAAGTGGCATTCTCTTTGTCTCTAGTTACCTTGAAGTACACTGAAATCCATGCCAGCATAAATCCAAAGACTCTGCAAGTCATAGAGATATGAGCATAAAATGAAGATAGTAAGTGACAATGATGTCACATATCCAGTAAGTGCGTGCACATATGGTGATATCTGCACACGGAGGTAGGGAAAACGTTTGATACCATTTTGTTTGATGTGCCTCTAAGCTTCACGAAGCTTCTTATCACCAATTTTATCAGTGTAAATATTAGAATGGTGACTGTTAAAAATATCATAGACCTGCAGTCACACATTTTCATTGTTATATTAACATTCATGTGAAAAAGGAGAAACACAACAAAGAGGCCAACTCCAAGCTTCAAAGCTTTCTTCACACATGATTTGTTGATTAGATAATAAATAGGAATATGAAAGATTCAAAATTGCTTAACAAAAAGCAAAATTAATGAGCTTGTCATTCTCCATAAACCAAACTTATCTATACATGAAGTTTCTAAATTCTTTCTTTGTAACTTCAGTTCTGCTCTCTCTGTTTGATTCAAACAATAAACATGATCAATTGTATCATCCAAAGAACAACAACACAAAATCCCCAAATATTAATTTGAAATCCCTAAGTAAATTGAGTTTCTTTTGGTAAACCATTGATGAAAACAATTTAAACTTACCGATTCACAACTCGTTTCGTTGATAACGAGAATCATAATTTCTTTCGTCGCTCGAGATTACTTCTTTAGCTCGCCGAAGAAGGAGAAGAGAGAGAGAGAGAGAGAGAGAGAGAGAGAGAGAGAGAGAGAGAGAGAGAGAGAGAGAGAGAGAGAGAGAGAG